GAGGTGAAGAGTTTGTCTTTGTCCACCCTGTCAATTCCCCTGATAATTTTGTAGGGATTTTTAATTTTGTGTGTGTGTGTGTGTATTATTATTATATATATATATATATATATATATATATATATATATATATATATATATATATATATATATATATATATATATATAAAATTGTACCTTGTAGCCAGAACGCAGAACTCGGCCTACTATGTAAGGCCCGATTTGCCTAATAAGCCAAGTTTTCCTGAATGTATATATTTTTCTATTTTTTTTTTTTTATGAAATCATAAAGCTATCCATTTCATTATGTATGCATTAATTTGTTTGAATTTGAGTTAAAACTAGTGTAGATATATGACCGAACCTAACCTAACCTATCTTAACCTAACCTAAACTAACTCAACAAAGTCAATAGTTTATTTTCTTGTTATAATATAGTAATAATAATTCAAATAAACTAACTGGAAACAATTTATTGAAAATAAAAAAATCACTCGGCCTATTAGGCAAATTGGGCATTGCATATTAGGTCGAAAAGTGCAAAGTGCGTTCTGGCTACTACTTACGACATTTTTATTTATGTATTATATATATATATATATATGATCGATGTTCCCTTCGGGAATCTTAATTTTAAGATGAATAGGAAAACCAGGGATATACTGAACATCTTGTATCAGAATCTTTACTTTAAAAAACATAACGTTTCCAATACTTCTCGTATTCATCATCAGATCTAAAAGAAAAAACAGAAATCACAGTCAAATAGCTGGTAAACAAAGAACTCATACTGAATATAATTGCCTATCAAAGAAAGGAAAAAGCTTAAAAAACAAAACACTTAAGCGCACTTAAAGTGATCAATACAAATAAAACTTATTAACTGTCACATATATTAAAACTAATTTAAAATCCATTAAACTACAAGATGAAATTTATAACTACTAAAACAAACCATTCCATTAAACTTACGTGAAGTGATCAGAAGTGAAACTTGATACCTAACACATAGATACTAAACACTATAACAAATATTCATATAATGACTACAAATCTACAAAAAATGTATGTAAAATACAAACAGAATAAACGACAATTATAAAGTACTAACCAAAATCTTATAAAAATCTCAAATATTAAATAAAATTAAATACCAAAAAATGTATTATATATCCTAAATAAAAGATTATATTAATGTACAATGTTAAGACTTGAAATAAGTAAGAAAGGGCAAAGACATGGCAAACTAAACAAAATTAAACTACCAAAATAAACTAAAAATCAAATTACAGGGCCTACTGTGCACTATACAGTGTACAATTGAACAGCTGAAAGGTTGCTATTTAACAGAGGCCGCAGTTCCTTTATATATAAGGATTCCATTACTCTCAAATCTGACTGGCCATTCATACAAGTGTCCAGAATTTTAAAATCAGATTCCAGCAGAGAATGATCAAACTCATAACAATGGTTTCTAATCTCCGAAAATGCTGGTTTAGACAATGGTAATCCAGTCCTAAAAGATAATCCCCGGTGCTCAAGTATCCTAATCTTAAAGTTCCGAATGGAACTCCCGACATATCCAGCATTACAGCTGGAACAATTATACATATATACGACATTTGAGCACAAGGGGATAGGCACTTTATCTTTAAATTTAAAATAAGAGCCTATGGTATTTGTGTTGACAAAAATAAATCTAAAGTCTACTTGAGGATAACACTGCTGCAACAGTCTCCTCAAACGACTCCTTACAGAAAAGCTAATACTGCCATAAAATGGTAATTTAATATATTTAAGATCCCTTTCCACTGTAGTAATCCTACACGATGGGTGAAACTTCTTATTTAAGAAATTCCTTATAAAAGTATAAACCATATGCACAGGATAACCATTATTTGAAAAAAATTTCACAAGAAAATTAATTTCCTGATCAAAGTTATTCCAATTAGAACATAAAACAAAGGCCCTATTCAGTAGAGTGTTAATAGCATTTTTCTTAAAAATATCAGGAACAAAGGAATTAAAATTTAAACCTAAACCAGTAAAGGTTGGTTTCCTAAAAACATTAGTGTTGAACCCATTGAGGTTATTCACTTTTACATCAAGAAACGACAATGAATTATCAACTTCACACTCTGCAGTAAACCGTATATTACTATGTTGTGCATTAAGATACTCTCTAAATTTCTCAATATGACATTGGTCCCTAAACAACAAAAAAGTGTCATCTACATATCTTCTGTACAAGACTGGTTTAAAGGCCGAAGGACAATTATCAAGCCAATTTATTTCGTGAAAACTCAAAAAAGCATTAGCCAGTGCAGGACCTAAAGGAGACCCCATTGCTACTCCATCAATTTGTTTATAATAAATATTATTAAACATAAAGATGGAGTCTTTAACTGCTATTTCTAACAGCCGTCTGAATATTTTACTACAAAATCCAGACACTAAGTTAGTGTCAGCAAATAATTGACTTACACAGATATCAATGGTTTCCAACAGAGGAATATTAGTAAAAAGTGATTCAACATCGAAACTGGCCATTATAGTTGGGAACTCAAAATTTAAAGAGGAAAGTTCTTTTACAAAATCCTGAGAATTTCTCACAGTAAATTCATTATGCGTTAATGGTTCTAATAATGGAACCAGAAACTTAGCCAGTTTATAATTAAAAGTGCCAATCGCTGATAAAATAGGACGAATCGGTATACCTGTTTTATGAACTTTTTTGTTGTTTAGGGACCAATGTCATATTGAGAAATTTAGAGAGTATCTTAATGCACAACATAGTAATATACGGTTTACTGCAGAGTGTGAAGTTGATAATTCATTGTCGTTTCTTGATGTAAAAGTGAATAACCTCAATGGGTTCAACACTAATGTTTTTAGGAAACCAACCTTTACTGGTTTAGGTTTAAATTTTAATTCCTTTGTTCCTGATATTTTTAAGAAAAATGCTATTAACACTCTACTGAATAGGGCCTTTGTTTTATGTTCTAATTGGAATAACTTTGATCAGGAAATTAATTTTCTTGTGAAATTTTTTTCAAATAATGGTTATCCTGTGCATATGGTTTATACTTTTATAAGGAATTTCTTAAATAAGAAGTTTCACCCATCGTGTAGGATTACTACAGTGGAAAGGGATCTTAAATATATTAAATTACCATTTTATGGCAGTATTAGCTTTTCTGTAAGGAGTCGTTTGAGGAGACTGTTGCAGCAGTGTTATCCTCAAGTAGACTTTAGATTTATTTTTGTCAACACAAATACCATAGGCTCTTATTTTAAATTTAAAGATAAAGTGCCTATCCGCTTGTGCTCAAATGTCGTATATATGTATAATTGTTCCAGCTGTAATGCTGGATATGTCGGGAGTTCCATTCGGAACTTTAAGATTAGGATACTTGAGCACCAGGGATTATCTTTTAGGACTGGATTACCATTGTCTAAACCAGCATTTTCGGAGATTAGAAACCATTGTTATGAGTTTGATCATTCTCTGCTGGAATCTGATTTTAAAATTCTGGACACTTGTATGAATGGCCAGTCAGATTTGAGAGTAATGGAATCCTTATATATAAAGGAGCTGCGGCCTCTGTTAAATAGCAACCTTTCAGCTGTTCAATTGTACACTGTATAGTGCACAGTAGGCCCTGTAATTTGATTTTTAGTTTATTTTGGTAGTTTAATTTTGTTTAGTTTGCCATGTCTTTGCCCTTTCTTACTTATTTCAAGTCTTAACATTGTACATTAATATAATCTTTTATTTAGGATATATAATACATTTTTTGGTATTTAATTTTATTTAATATTTGAGTTTTTTATAAGATTTTGGTTAGTACTTTATAATTGTCGTTTATTCTGTTTGTATTTTACATACATTTTTTGTAGATTTGTAGTCATTATATAAATATTTGTTATAGTGTTTAGTATCTATGTGTTAGGTATCAAGTTTCACTTCTGATCACTTCACGTAAGTTTAATAGAATGGTTTGTTTTAGTAGTTATAGATTTCATCTTGTAGTTTAATGGATTTTAAATTAGTTTAATATATGTGACAGTTAATAAGTTTTATTTGTATTGATCACTTTAAGTGCGCTTAAGTGTTTTGTTTTTTAAGCTTTTTCCTTTCTTTGATAGGCAATTATATTCAGTATGAGTTCTTTGTTTACCAGCTATTTGACTGTGATTTCTGTTTTTTCTTTTAGATCTGATGATGAATACGAGAAGTATTGGAAACGTTATGTTTTTTAAAGTAAAGATTCTGATACAAGATGTTCAGTATATCCCTGGTTTTCCTATTCATCTTAAAAATATATACATATATATATATGTCGTACCTAGTAGCCAGAACGCACTTTTCAGCCTATGCAAGGCCCGATTTGCCTAATAAGCCAAGTTTTCATGAAATAATAGTTTTTCGACAACCTAACCTGCCTAACCTAACCTAACCTAACTGTTTCGGCTGCCTAACCTAACCTAACCTATAAAGATATGTTAGGTTAGGTTAGGTAGGGTTGGTTAGGTTCGGTCATATATCTACGTTAATTTTTAGTATAATAAAAAATAATTGACCTCATACATAATGAAATGGGTCGCTTTATCATTTCATAAGAAGAAAATTTGAGATAATATATTAATTCAGGAAAACTTGGTTATTAGGCAAATCGGGCCTTGCATAGTAGGCTGAGAAGTGCGTTCTGGCTACTAGGTACGACATATATATATATATATATATATATATATATATATATATATATATATATATATATATATATATATACACACACACACACACATTTGGGTATGTATGTAATGTATATATGAATGACAATATTTACACGTGTATTGATTTTTTTTTATTTGATATATAAATACTTTATTTAATACCTAAATATACAAGACCAGATGCCAGAGAAGGCAGCACCCAGAGGACTCAAGCACAACCATTCTTTCTTCAATTAAAAACTCATTGTTTTACACAAGACTAATGTTATTATACTGTATATTTTATTATGTAAGGGAATTAATATAAAGAGTACACATTAATATTTGAATTAAATACAAAATACATCAGTTTTTCACTAAAAAATAAAAAAAAATCATCAGCTCTATAACTAGGAAGTAAATACACCGTGTATCACAAGTTAGACGTGCCCAATACCCGCCATTATAAAACCCATTGGAAAACCCAAGTACAGTATTTGGCTTAGCCGACACGTCCATTGCAGGGAGTCTTCACTTTCCTCATTTGAACATTGCTTTAGCGTACTGCTTCATTAACCACTTAAGGTGGTGTGGAACCCCCCGAGCCATTCACGTTAGTACTTACTGCATGTCTCTTTCTCAGCTTTTGAACTTCCTCTGCCAATTTGATTGGTTTCTCAAAGAAGGTGACAAGTTTTTCTTCATTGGCCACATTAGCTAGAAGCTGTTCAAAAGATATACTCCATTCCAGGGAAGAGAGCTGCGAGCCAGAAGGAAGTTGATGCTCATTAATACCATCATTTTTACCTTCGTCACTTTTTGGGTCAGTTGACGCCTGTTCACACACATCAGTATTTTCCTCATTTTCTTCCACTGTGTTACATTTATTTATTTTGTCTGAACCTTCGTGGCTTTCATCTGTAGCACTTGGACGAGCACTAAAAGTTTGTTCTGGTTCACCAGTTTCATATGTTTTCGTTGACGCTTGTTGAGCCTCCTGCGTTGCACATGCACCAGACTCTGAGTCCTTGATCAACACAACACCCGTCACCTCATCCAAATGGGATGCACCGTCAAAGGGTTGCTCTCCAGTGGTGCTTGCCTGTTAAGTGTGTTAAATGATTCATTACAACAATTATTTCAAATCACACCACTGAAAAAGGGTTTGGCTTATAACATCATCCAGGGTAAAGCATTTCACATATAAAGTGCATCTTGCAGTCACTCTTATTCTTCCATAAAACTGTACACTCAATATATGCTGACAACCCCCCCCCCCTCACAGTCTTTAACTGCTCAGCTTAATATTATCATTCCCTCTTCCTTTCCTCCCTCTAACCCTACTTATAGACATTGTCTTCAAATAACTAATTCAAAGTTTCCATCATATATTTGGTGTTTTATTATTCCTCCCGTCATTCTTCCTATGTCCCCTTTTCTTACTAAGCAGTTGGTCCTCAGAGTATCCACTTGCACTGCATGCAGTCAGTCTAGTAAAGCAACCACTACCTCACTGCAACACATCATAACACCATAAACTACTATGTTCAGTATGGCTCTGCCTACATTCTAGACTCAAACCTAGTAGTAAAATCCCACTGCAATGTTTCTCCATTTTAGAGGATTCTTGGACACTATCTTGGAATCTACTTTTAACCTTCAACAGAAACTTCTTGGCTTCTTGAGACAGAATCTCCCTTCTAGCTTCTTTCCCAGCTACATCTCTCACACCCTTTCTTGTGCATGCCAAGTGGAATTACATACATTAATTACTTTACCACCTAAAGCTAATCACTTTTCAATATGTCCACTGTATATTATATGAATTATTATTATTATTATTGAAAATAATTTTGAGGCAATGAAGTGATTTGAACCAACGTTTTGGCGATTCTCAGACAACTGCCTTAACTGACTCGGCCACGATGGTACAAAAGTCGACCAACCCATTTTGCAGAACACCAAATAGAACAAGTTGTCTTTAGATGCGAAGCATTCATAGCATCACACAATTTTCCAAGAGCATCTTCACTAGCAACATTTTCAAAATGTAAAGCAGCAGTGTGAGCTTTCCATAGTTTATGATCAACAATTTTTGTTCCGAGAGACTTCAAGTGTGTACTTGGATCTGCTCCATCATAGTATACTTGGTACATCTGTCACTCACTTGATATTCTTAAACCCTTAGAAGTGAAAAGTGTTACATTGTTTGTGTTTGCACATACTTTACACCCAAGTTTATCATCCCTGAAGTCTAACCATGGGTTGGCTTCCTTTTTTTGTCCACATTTCTTCAGTCCAAACACCTGATACAATATACTGATACCTGATACTCTACAGGGATACAAGTTAACCTCAAAGCCCCATTACTTTCTGAATGGCACATGGATCCAGTTTGAAAATTTGAACTAGAATCAGTCGAAACATAACTTTTGTCACTTTCACTTATCATTATCAGTCTCCTGCACGTTATTGTTCTTACACTTATCATTTTGTTTACGAAAAAAGTTAACATTGTTTGCTTAGAAGCCACGATGGAGTTGTTTGTGAGAAAAAATGCTCCTGTATTAGAAAGAAATCCATGGACCACCAGCTACCATTTTACTAATGCCACAAAAATACAAAAGCAGAGTTGCCAACTCGGTATTTCACGCGGCACTAGAACCACCCCAAAAACCACTAAATTATGTAAAGTTGTACGCAGCAGTTTTGTCGTTTTACCTGCCTAGTATTTAATAAATTAATTAATACTAAAATATACTATTGTATGAATAAAGAAAACCTGTCTAATGAGCTACTGCTAAAGCCATGAATAATTATTGCTGAATATTGGAATCCAAAGTTGTAGGTTGGCAACTTTGTCTCAAACAGTTTGTTTGGCATAATTGGACAGGAAGCGTTCACCTGCCTCGGGTATTATTTTTCCAGATTTGTACCAGTACAATTCAACCTGTTTACGTTTTAAAAATATAAAAATTTATATATTATTGAATCTTTAAAAAATGGAGAAATATCATAACATTATTAACTTAGTGATGTAATACTAATATTTTTCTTCCACGATCAACCATCACCCACAAGCTATCATCTTCCTTCCCTTTACTTCACTTCACCTTCCCCCCCCCTTTCCCCCATTCCATCATCCACTTGCAGAGGTGCCAAAGTAGCGCTCCAGCAAGTTACGGCAGCACTGTACCACTGGTGCCCCATCACTTGGGCTGGACAGTAGAGCAGCGGTCTCACTTCATGCAGGTTAGCGTTCACTCCCCGACCAACTAAGTGGTTGGGTACCATTCCAAATCCTTATCCCCTCCCAAGTGCTATATAGTCGTAATTGCTTGGCTCTTTCCCCTGATAATTCCCTCCCTCCTTCTTGTTCATGGCCTCCAGAACCTCCCGGTGAATTCAGTAGAGTTCCGGGTTGGTCAACTTTTGTACCATCGTGGCCGAGTCGGTTAAGGCAGGTGTCTGGGAATCACCGGAACGCGGGTCCAAGTAACTCCATTGCCTCAAAATGATTTTCATTTACATATGACGATATTGTGATTTTATTGAGGTGATAATAATAATAATAATAAATACAGTAATTCATACATTCATACAGTAATTATCATTAATAATCATAAGAGAGCACCTTTCTTCCATTCTACAACTACATTCACAGCCGGTGCGCTTGGGGACGTGAGAGTGTACCATATCTTCAAGAATGATCACATAATATACAGCAGCAGCTTCACGGTTACATCATCTCCCACTGATTCAGCAAATTGATGCTATATTCTCATCTTTTTCCCCATTCAGCAGCCATCTCACAGAATGGACTGCCACCCTGTGCTTTCCCTAACAATATTCATCACAAACCTTTCAGGAACCGTCGATGGCCATTAATTTTGAACGCGGGGCTAATGTGTTCTTAATCCAAAATTTACTAGATATATATTTGCACCAACCTATTATACATTTTTTTTATTGGCATTCATTAACAATTTCTTGCCATTACACAGCTACCAAAGCAAGCTCTGCCCATCTAAAAACTAGTACTATTATCAGCATACTGAAAATGCCTTATGAAATATTAACACTTCATAAAGTTCAAAATATTATGAAACTACACAAGGAAGGTACATAATATCTTTATAATAAAAAGTTACAAATATAAACATTAACAAATATAAACATTAAACCTGCAAAATATGTATGTGATGAGGTCAAACTGAGATGCCACCACCTTTTTGTATTTCTAATGTTTGTTGGGTTTCAGTCACTTTTATTCTGAGGTTTCAGTCACTTTCAGTCTGAGGTTTTAGTCGCCTTCATTTCTTACCAAACAAACTCCTCTGCCTGGATTTCCAGCTGCTGCCATTTTATCACAAGTGAAAAATTTAAATGGCTATGTTTACACAATATGTCCTCATTTTCCTCCAATTTTTCAATCACAGAACCCATAATTATAAAATACAAATACCAGCTAAATCAATCTAAGAAATGTACAAGCTGACTTACATTTTCACCGCTGGACTTGGACACCATTCCTTTGACTCGTCGTCCCATCTCTCCAATCTGCAGCAGCAACGTTCCTTGAATACAAACAGTTCCGTCAAAATGATAATAAGTCTCCTTTATTCCCAGAACACTTATTACTATGATACAAAAGCAATATCAACATATTGATGTATAGCTTTACAACATACCAACTCTAGAGAGTGATGTAAATATATCTTGGTTGGTTTCCATAGCAAAGAAGCTGTAGACTGTGCGCCACATATTGATAAACTGCTCCTGGGACATGGTTGGCAAAAATCGTTGTTCGTATAATCGGTAGTCACGGTTATGAATGGTTGCTAACCCAGTGAGATTATCACAGTATTCTGAAAATCAACAATGTCTACTATAAAAAGCATATACTCTACTAATAAAAGTGCATCTTACTCCTGTGAATCAATCATATAAAACTGAAATATCAATTTTAAATCAACTTAACGAGCTAGATAAGAATTAACCGTTAATTACCTAGATAGTAGTTAATCAAGTTAACTAGCCAGATAGTAGTTAACCTCATTTTATCATATTAGTTCTACTAAGTGTATGATATTAGTGTAGTGTAATACACTAGTATACAATAGTATAAACAAACCATCGGTAGTTTCAAAGTGCTGTATGACAAATTATAAGGAAGACTGGACACCACGAGCATAGCTCTCATTCTGTAATATTTTGATAATTATATTTAAGAAATACACTTGCATATTACTATCACCCTATTTCACACTTTCAAAGGCACAGGAAGACATCAGTCAGGAGGAAAATGAGACAATATAGGAAAAAAGGGCATTTAAATATTACAAAAATACAGCATCCGTAAATCTATGGTAACATTGACAATAGACAGCATTAAGAGATATAAGCACCACCACCACACATCATCAGCCATCATAGCATTTGCTGCCATTCGCTGCCACTGCCCTACCAAATCCATCAAGCATTTGATGACACCATCAGCCATGGTGGCTGTACAACAGCCACCTGTTGTACAAGACCAGGTGTACAGTGCTCCTCATGATTTGTTATGTACAGTACAAGTTCACTCACTTCATTCATATTTGTATACATAACACCTAAATTTACTGTAACATGTCATTTTATTCTATATGATATTTGATATTCTGAATAATTTCTCTAAACTCTTATTCTAAATCATTAAGAAATAGAAGAGTGTTAATTAAAAATAATGCATACCAAAGCTTACAATAACCCAACTCACACATGACATTAAATAAGAAGTTAAATAAGATATTATGACTTGATAAGGGGGTCCAAGATGGACAAACATTTGTGCTTATTTAATTTCTCATATGAATGTCAGAGTATTGGTTATTAGCTACATTGTGACTTATTCTCTGAAAAGACTGTAATGCTATACAGTACTTAATGTGATCTCCATAAAAGAATATAATTTTGTTTGCATGCCATGTTCAGTATTACAAGCAGGAAGAGCAGGGACAAAGAAAGCTAAGATAAGAAGCAGAAGATCAAAGTTATAAGCAATGAGAACTGTAGATTTGTGCACCGACATGAGGCTCCCAGAAGAGACTGCACTTGTTACGTCAACATCTTCGGGAAACAGATGCATCAGATCCAGAGACAATTAAACAGGGCTAATGCGAGAGTATTAGATACCCTAAGCGAACTTGCAGCGTCATGATGCTTTTACCCCACAATGAACTTCCGAAAATTAATATACTGTAATAGTATGAATAAAAATTCGGCATCAATACTGTAATGCGATTTATTTCTTTTACACGAAAGTAGAGTATGATACTAATAACATTCTTGTTGCTCAATTTTATCTACACTTTTCATGGGACATGCACAAGAATAAATGAACTTTAAAATTGAATATTTTTTGGTGCTTTGTAGTGCATACAGAATATGTAATGTACATATACAACCTCACACATCACAGCGAGACATTGACCAGTGCCAATAAGGTCCTAATATTCTATGAACTACGATGTTACATGGGAATCCTATCTCTCTTTTTTCTCGTCTCCTAATACCCCCATAGATGCTACCAAACACTGGCTTGCTGAGCTGTCAGTCTCTCTCTCACTCACTCACTCACACACACACACACACTCTCACACACACACACACACACACACTCTCACACACACACACACACACTCACACACACACACACACACACACACACACACACACACACACACACACACACACACACACACACACACACACACACACACACACACACACACACACACACACACACACACACACACACACACTCTCACACACACACACACACACACTCTCTCACACACACACACACACACACACTCACACACACACACACTCACACACACACACACACACACACACACACACACACACACACACACACACACACACACACACTCTCACACACTCTCTCACTCTCTTAAGCCTCTGCATCACTCTCTTGAGCCTCTGCATCACTCTCGTGAGCCTCTGCATCACTCTCTTGAGCCTCTGCATAGCTCTCTTGATCCTCTTCATCACTCTCTTGAGCCTCTGCATCCCCCTCTTAAGCCTCTGAATCACTCTCTTGAGCCTCTGCATAACTCCCTTGAGCCCCTGCATCCCTCTCTTAAGCCTCTGCATCACTCTCTTGAGCCTCTGCATCGATCTCTTGAGCCTCTGCATCACTCTCTTCAGCCTCTTCATCCCTCTCTTGAGCCTCTGCAACACTCTCTTCAGCCTCTGCATCACTGTCTTGAGCCTCTGCATCACTCTCTTAAACCTCTGCATCACTCTCGTAAGCCTCTGAATCACTCTCTTGAGCCACTGTATCACTCTCTTGAGCCCCTGCATCCCTCTCTTGAGCCTCTGCATCACTCTCTTGAGCCTCTGCATCACCCTCGTAAGCCTCTGAATCACTCTCCTGAGCCTCTGCATCCCTCTCTTGAGCCTCTGCATCACTCCCAAGAGCCTCTGCATCCCTCTCTTCTGCCTCTTCATCCCTCACTTGAGCCTCTGTTTCCCTCTCTTTTGCCTCTTCATCCCCGACTTGAGCCTCTGCTTCCCTCTCTTGAGCTCTGCATCACTCTCTTGAACTCCAAGCTCAAGGCTCAAGAGAGTGATGCAGAGGCTCAAGAAAGTGATGCAGAGGCTTAAGTGAGGAATGCTAAGGCTCAAGAGAGGGATGTTGAGGCTCAAGAGAGTGATTCAGATGGTTACAAGAGTGATGCTGAGGCTTAAGAAAGGGATTCAGAGGCTCAAGAGAGTGATTCAGAGGCTCAAGAGAGGGAAGCAGAGGCTCAAGAGAGTGATTCAGAGGCTTACGAGAGTGATGCAGAGGCTTAAGAGTGTGATGCAGAGGCTTAAGAGAGGGATGCAGAGGCTCAAGAGAGGGATGCAGAGGCTCAAGAGAGGGATGCAAAGGCTCAAGTGAGGGATGCAGAGGCTCAAGAGAGGGATGCAGGGGCTCAAGAGAGGGATGCAGAGGCTCAAGTGAGGGATGCAGAGGCACAAGAGAGGGATGCAGAGGCTCTTAAGAGTGATGAAAAGGCTCAAGAGAGAGATGCAGAGGCTTAAGCGAGTGATGCAAAGGCTGAAGAGAAGGATGCAAAGGCTCATGAAAGGGATGGAGGAGTTCAAGAGAGAGATGCAGAGGCTCAAGAAAGGGATGCAGAGGCTTAAGAAAGTGATGCAGAGGCTCAAAAGAGGGATGCAGAGGCTTAAGAAAGTGATACAGAGGCTCAAAAGAGGGATGCAGAGGCTTAAGAGGGTGATGCAGAGGCTCAAGAGAGGGATGCAGAGGCTTAAGAAAGTGATGCAGAGGCTCAAAAGAGGGATGCAGGGGCTCAAGGGAGTTATGCAGAGGCTCAAGCGAGTGATTCAGAGGCTTAAGAGGGGGATGCAGAGGCTCAAGAGAGTGATGAAGAGGATCAAGAGAGTTATGCAGAGGCTCAAGAGAGTGATGCAGAGGCTCACGAGAGTGATACAGAGGCTCAAGAGAGGGATGCAGAGGCTTAAGAAAGTGATACAGAGGCTCAATAGAGGGATGCAGGGGCTCAAGAGAGTGATAGAGAGGCTCATGAGAGTGATTCAGAGGTTTACGAGAGTGATGCAGAGGCTCATGAGAGTGATTCAGAGGTTTACGAGAGTGATGCAGAGGCTAAAGAGAGTGATGTAGAGGCTTACGAGAGTGATGCAGAGGCGTAAGAGAGTGGTGCAGAGGCTCAAGAGAGGGATGCAGAGGCTCAAGAGAGGGATGAACAGGCTCAAGAGAGGGAGGCAGAGGCTCAAGAAAGGGATGCAGAGGCTTAAGAGAGGGTTGCAGAGGCTCAAGAGAATGATGCAGAGATTCAACAGAGTGATGAAGAGGATCAAGAGAGTGATGCAGAGGCTCAAGCAAGGGACGCAGAGGTTCAAGAGAGGGATGCAGGGGCTCAAGAGAGAGATGCAGACGCTCAAGTGAGGGATGCAGAGACACAAGAGAGGGATGCAGAGGCTCTTGAGAGTGACGCAGAGGCTCAAGAGAGGGATGCAGAGGCTTAAGCGAGTGATGCAAAGGCACAGGAGAGGGATGCAGAGGCTCATGAGAGGGATGCAGGAGTCCAAGAGAGTGATGCAGAGGCTCAAGAAAGGGATGCAGAGGCTTAAGAAAGGGATGCAGAGGCTCAAAAAAGAGATGCAGAAGCTTAAGAGAGTGATGCAGAGGCTGAAGAGAGTGTTGCAGAGGCTAAAGAGAGTTATGCAGAGGCTCAAGAGAGGGATGCTAAGGCTCAATAGAGGGATGTTGAGGCTCAACAGAGTGATTCAGAGGCTTACGAGAGTGATGCAGAGGCTTAAGAGAGGGATTCAGAGGCTCAAGAGAGTGATTCAGAGGCTCAAGAAAGGGATCCCTCTCTTAAGCCTCTGCATCACTCTCTTGAGCCCCTGCAGCATTCTCTTGAGCCTCAGCATACCTCTCTTAAGCCTCTACATCATTCTCTTGTGCCTCTGCATCACTCTCTTGAGCCTCTGCATCCCTCTCTTAAGCCTCTACATCCCTCTCTTGAGCCTCTGCATCCCTCTCTTATGCCTCTGCAACACTCTCTTCAGCCTCTGCATCACTCTCTTAAGCTTCTGCATCTCTCTCTTGAACCTCTGCAACCCTCTCTTAAGCCTCTGCAACACTCTCTTCAGCCTCTGCATCACTCTCTTGAGCCTTTGCATCACTCTCTTGAGCCTCTGCATCCCTCCCTTAAGCCTCTGCAACACTTTTTTCAGAGTCTGCATCACTCACTTAAGCCTCTGCATCCCTCTCTTGAGCCTCTGCATCCCTCTCTTAAGCCTCTGCAACACTCTCTTCAGCCTCTG